TTACTATATATTATATATATATATATATATATATATATATATATATATATATATATATAAAATCAGATGGTCAAGCTACGCATTACAAACTTTCATCAGTTTCAATGGCACTTACAACGCTACGAACTTTTATTTCAACTCAATATTATATAGTAAAATCAATATATAACAAGAAATTAGAATGGGTACTTTTAAAGACAGACAAGGCTACAACATACTTATTATTATAACTATAGGATTAATGCAAATTGCGTGAGTTGTTTAATCATAAATTATTGCAATGTTGCTGATAGCATATTTTAATTTGTATAGAATTACTATTGAATCAGTAAATTAAAGCTAAAAGGAGAGATAGATAAGAAGGTATTATTTATTATTAAAACAATAATATATAAAGTTTTCTCTCTTGTTACTCCGAATTTAAGGAGATTCTGATGTATGTTAATAAAATCTTTGAATAAATTTAGAAATCGTAAACAAATTAATATTTGCATACTATTAATATTATAATAGCTATATTTCTAAAGATTTACTTCCTACGTTATCTTCAATAAAAATTACGAATTATATTGAATTAATTCATAGATTACAAATCGTGAAAGCATCTTATTTAAGTATCTTATTTAAAATTCAATAATAAATACTGCTCTGTTGTGCAATAATTTATTTACAATGACGAAACTTAGAATTGAAAACTATTTTTCTTTCTAAAATGAAACGTTTTATGTCTCTCTTTAGCTATATTGTCTTTAATATATAATTTTACATTTCTCTTGCATTTGATTTTTTTTTTCTATAGACTTGAGGCTATCGCTTAGATTATATTAATGCTATATATGTTTAAAGAAAAATAGTGAGAATATTAATACATAACTCTTATATATATTAAACTTTTTAACATTTGTGCTTATATAAGCCAATTGTGATGTTTATTTAAATATATTTGAGACAATGTCATCGTGCTGCGTTCTTTTAATGAAATTTTGAAAGATATAAAAGTTTAATATATATAAATAATACATTAAACATTATTTTATGTAAAATAGGTTGGCATTCAAAGTAATATACAAGTAATACACATGTGAGATTAATTAATGACACTGCAATATCATTAATTGGCATGCGGTCTAAGAATATTCCTAAATTTTTGTGTCATGTAATCTCATAATTACATATATTACGCTAGCAAAAAACTTTTTGTACATTCATTAAAAGTGTAAGTTATGACGTGATATTAAATTTCTTAATAACATTTAATTTTTTTTAGTCATTAATTCATCATGCCTTATATTAATAATTTGTCACTAAGTGTATGTATAATATACAAAGCACTTTTTCATACACGATGAAAATTTTGTAAGATAACTGAACAGTATCAAATTGAAATATACATAAGATTATTGCAATTACTTCATTAGACAATTATATATATTTGATGCTGCTAATATATTATTTCTTTATATTAGCGTAATAAAATGATATTTTATTCTTTTTATTTATTGAAGCGCCATTTATTTTTTTTAAATTATTTGTTAGAGAATTAAAAATAATTTATTTTATAATCTTTTATGTAATTTTTGCTATGATAAAATATTTTTATGTTCAAGTATGAGTCTTAACAGTCAAATAATAATAATTTTTATATAGAAAAATGCTATTAAGAGATAAGAGTTTATTTTGAGTTTAATTGAAAACAAAAATTTAGTTCTGCTCTTATCTTAATCTCAATAATAAAATATTCTTATTAATTACAAATTAATATTAATATCACTTGATCTGTATTATAATATATGACAGAAAAGACAATTGCCAGATTATTATTATTATTGTTTAATTTGCTATATGAAGAAAAGATGCAATTTGATATTAATATCAAAGAGAAAGCTGATATCAATAATTTGTGATATCAATATAAGAGATTAAATTTATATGTTATCTCAGATTAAAAGTACTTTCTTTAAACTCTGTATCTTCCTTAACATTATATTATTACATCAATTATGATTAATTTCTTTTTATCTTCTTTATCAAGTTGTCAGTAAATAGATCAAGACTAAGATCAATATAACTATTTCGAGATCTATATTCTGAGAAACGACTTTATCATGCTTCGACTATTTTCGTAATTAAAATATAAATATTATATTTTATAAAATATAATATTTTCAGAAGTAATAGAATCTCACAGTTGCATTGTATATCTTATATACATATGTAATAATCTAAGAAATACTAATAATATTTATCAGTATCTTTTTAATCATGGTTATATATGCAAATACATACGATATTAAAATGTAAATAAGCTTAAATCGTCGTTCAATAGCTCCCAGTTTGAAATCATTATAAAACTTTTATCCTTTATACAAATAATTATTAACAATAAATACATATTTATTTATACCTGAAAAATATGTTTCATTAGAGTTTCTAAAATCAATTTTCCTGAAAGGAAATTTATATTTTTGATTTATTTAACAATTACATATAGTTTTTGACTTCGCTCTTATAATTTTATATAATTAAGATGATATGAATAATTCATTAGAATTCTATATATATATATATTTC